GAATTATTTAGTCTGTGGCAGATCACTTTGCCCATTGAAAAAAAGTCAGGATCGAAATTTTTGCGTTGCTATAGTTTGTGCTGATTAAATTTAATAATTTCAAGTAGATCAATTGTTATAATTAAATATAATTAATTAATATCAGTAAAATAAAGTATGAATTACTGTTATAATATAAAATTTAGGAAAAAAAATTACCGTAGAATTAAATAAAATTTTGCAACCTCGAAATACCGTTCTGCTTACAGTAAACACACTCGGTAGTCTGGCGCTCCGTTTACAACGGATTTGAACGGAACTTGGCGCCAGATTCTACCGAATCTGTGGATATGAGATAATTTTTCAAACTTTTTAAGCTGGAAAATTATGATTCGTTATACTTTCTAAAATGTAAATTATATATAACTGATTAATTTTTGGACTTGCCACTATTACGTGCGCAATATTTAAGTATATCCGTGAAACACAATATTAATGAAGACTCATTTCCATACGTTTTTTTTAAATAAAATTATAAATTGTGTGTTATCAACAATAAATCAACATCGGAGGAAATAATAATTGAGTGCACAACCCGCATGGAGAAATAAATATGTCAAAAATATATGTCGCATATATAATATATATGCCGCATATATTTACGCAAAAAAAAATATGTCAACATATATTTTTCACATAGATGCTGACATATATGCAGAGACACATGCTTTCATATATGTAGACATATATGTAAGCATACACTGAAAAAAAAATTTCTACGTTTGAGAATTTTTTTACTTAAATCAAGAAAGTTAAATTTTTCAAAATTATTTTCTTGATTCAAGTTAAATTTTTTTCTGTGTATCTCTGGACACTTATATGCGCACATATATGTGAACATATATGCGGACATATATTTAGCGCAAAAAAAATATATGTGAAAATATATATTTGCATATATTTTTCGCATATATATTTTTCCATGCGGGTAAACACCGATTATATTAGTCAGTATCAGAATAGTTTCATCTGGGTAATGAAAAAATTATTTAAAACGATTTAAAAATTACACCTGTTCATACCTGATGTCAGATATGACCATGCCTATTCGTGCATGATCATCATGTCTGATGCGTTAAATACTTCAAGCCTTAACGTGCATGACCATGCCTACACAGAAAGAAAATTGAAGGAGTTTTTACTATTTTACTATTGTAATTTTTACTAAATAAAATAGTAACGGTGGACTATACTTCTCATTTAGTAATTTTTACGATCTATAGCATATTCGTTTTCTCCGTGGAAAAATACGTGGTCATACCAATTTTTAGGACAATCGGTTGAACAGTGCGGAAGTCGATACTTGACAGCGCCGCCTGGTGGCGAGTTACATCAATGGGCATAGCATATAAACCTTCTCCGAGAGAAAATACATAAACATACCAATTTTCATAATGATCGGTCAAATAGTTCCTGAGTTTATCGATGACATATATACAAACATCCTCTTTTATACACTGTAAAAAATCCGGAGTGAATCGGGAGTGAATTTCACTCCCATTTCACTCCCATCACTCGGAGTTCCGGAGTGAAGTAATTAATCACTCCGCGTAGGGAGTGAATCCAGAGTTTTTATTTGCGGAGTGATTTCAGAGTGATTACGGAGTGCTTTCGAATTTCACTCCGAAAAACATCCGCGATCGGAGTTTTTACAATAAATAAAATAAGAATGAATTTTCGTTCTACAAAAAAAATTTCAAAATTAATCTTTATATATTTATTTCTTCTGTACGTGTGTTTATCACTGAACTCCTTCTAAACGACTGGACCGATTTTAATTAAATTTTTTGTATGTCTTCCGGTGGATTCCAGAATGGTTTAGATTCACAATTCAGTCCACGAGAAAATGTTTATTTAACAGATTTTTTTTACAAATTGTTGTTGATCTTGATTACCCACATGCACTTTTCTTATATTTATAAATATATAAAATATATGAAAAATAATAGTACCTATAGAACACGTTAAAAAAATTTTCTTATCGATTAAATAAGATTTCTCAGAAAAAAGTCGTTTTTCTGATGAATTAAATGAATAAGAGCGTGATATTCACGGGAGCTATGGGCTTGATAACACCACAACTTTGTCAAAAATCACTTTCACGATTTAATTTTTTTTTGTTTTATTCCTGAGGAAGTTTATCACAACCCTTGTGAAAATTGCGTGTCAAAATAATACCGTTTCGATACAGTTAATTTTTTTCGATTGTCAGTTCTGTGACTTTTTCTGCGATTTCGGCAGCCTATTGTATTATTTTTCATAAACAGAATTGAAATAACTATAAACAAGCAGAAACTATACATACATGATGGTATAATTACTGACTGTTTTATCATCTGTTAAAATTTTTCTTTAGTTCGACCTACAGAGGGGATAATACTACTCGCGAGAAAATTCAAATTAAAAACGAATAATTTTTGTTATGATCTAAATAATTTATGTATGACATGAACGCTTAAGGCATGCTCATTTGGATTTTCCAAACTTTCTTTCAAAATATCATTAGTTGGCAAGATACAATGTCATTTCTTAATTATTGAAGTTTTGAAAGATATAAGCTCATCCCGATGTTACACTCATTGAGTTCTTTCATTTGAGTACCCACATGACATTTTTTATATAATTGAGGAGCTGATTTTCAAAAGGGTATCTTTTCATATTTTAAAATACCAGTTTTCTGAACTTTAAAATACTAATTACTTCGAGAATTATGAACATTTATAAATGAAAATCGAATGGCAGCTTCATAACCGATTGCATTTTATAGCTAAATTAAAAAAAGTTCAATACAAATATTTATAATTGAAGATAACTAGTTTTTTGTCGCGATTAATCAAAAATCAAAAGATACCCTTTTGAAAATAAGCTTCTCAATTTACATATAAATATGTTATTTGTGAAATATATAAAATATATCATATAGGAGATATAGTAATGTAGTAATATTCGCACGTACACCACACACACACACACATACACACACACACACACACACACACACACACACACACACACACACACACGTCGACGCGTTGATCTACTGGATCACTATATCGTGTCGAGTATACTTGAGTCACCTATCTATTAGCACGTTGTCGAGTCAAGTCATAGCATTCTTTTCTATCGTTCTAATTAGCCATTGAATAAATTCATACGTCGTTTATATTAAATCTGCTCTTATATAATTTATATCAACTCTATCCCTGCCTAACTCCAACAGGTTATGGGCCCAGTGGCGAGAAAGTAAGTGAGTGATATATAAAAATAATAAAGAAGTGAGAATTAATAAATAAAAATCGTCGAGTAAAAATTTCGTGAACACGTGGTCGAAAATTAGCTAACCAAACATGGCGGACGGAGTGTCGCGTATCGAGTTACTAGACAACGTAACTACGATATCTGGCAATTGAGGATGAAGTCCATCCTGGTGAAACATGACCGATGGGGTTATGTAAGCGGCGAAATACTGTATACAATTGGAAGCAACGCCACGGAAAGAGAAATCGCGAAGTGGAAAAACGGCGACGAGAAGGCCAAAGCGGACATTATTTTGTCGATTGGCAACGCCGAATTGAAGACGATCACAAAGTGCAACACGTCGAAGGAAATATGGGAAAAACTGCAGTCAATCCACGCGTCGAAAGGACCAGTGAGAAAAATTGAGTAGCTGACAGAGATAACATCTTTCAAAATCTACGAGGAGGATGATTTTCGGGAACGACTGGGACAGCTTTACGAACGCTGTCGAACAGTTAAAGGGTATGGACATCAAAATTTCAAGTGATATGCTCGTGGTATTAATTTTGAAGAGTTTACCACCAAGCTTCGAGAATTTTCGGTGTGCGATTAGATCCAACGACGAATTACCGACTACAGAGGCGCTGATTGGAAAAATACTCGATGAAAATCGAAGTAGGAGATCTGTAGAATCGGCAGAGGACAACAACGTGCTGTATGCAGGCAATCGATATGGAAGGAAGCCGCAACAGAGAAAATTTAAGTCGAAAAATAGCAAACCATGTTTCATATGCGGAAAAATTGGTCATTGGGCAGCTAAGTGCCCTGAGCGACAACACAATTCTGCGAGGAGCGTCGAATCGTCGGAAGAGACCCACTATGTCGTGGATCAACCTGAGGAGGCCCACAACGTGACTTCAAGGTCGAGGTGGTGCTTAGATAGTGGATGTACCACGCACATGTGTACCAGCGACGAATTCCTGACTGATATCCAGGAGTGTGAGATGACATTGAACATGGCGAATGCAGCATCGACGAAGGCGAGAGCAAAAGGACTTGCTCACATCAAGGCAGACACAGGTAATATTGATCTAAATCTTCGTAATACCTTACTTGTTAAAGATCTGAGGACTAATTTAATTTCCGTATCGAAAATCACTCGGAACGACCGAGAGATTTTATTCAGGAAGGACGACGCCATCGTCAGGGACCTGAATGGAGAGGTGAAGTTAGTTGCTGATCGCGTAGGAGACCTGTATTACCTACGGGAGCAGGCGGAACAAGTCAAGGCAGTGGAAAAGGAGTCGGAAAGAACCAGTACGTCGGATTTAGACCTATGGCATGCAAGGTTAGGACATTTGCACATGGATGCCGTAGTTAACCTGTCAAAAGGTCAAGCGTCGGGGATAAAACTGTTGAAAAAAGACACGACGTTATGCGACGTGTGTCATCGTGGAAAATTGACGGTAAAGCCGTTTTATCCGAGAGCCGAGAAAAGTCAGCGAATGCTCGAAATTGTGCATACTGACCTATGTCAACCTTCAGGGACGAAATCTGAAGGAGGAAACCGGTACTTCGTGACCTTCATAGACGACTACAGCAGCTGGTGTGAGCTGTACCTGTTGAAGAGCAAAGACGGAGTATTCGAGGCATTTAAAACGTATAAAAATTACGTAGAGAAGCAAACAGGGCTTAAAATCAAGGCATTGCAGTCTGATAATGGTCGAGAGTACTGCAATAAACAATTCGACGAGTACCTGAGGCACGAGGGCATTAAGAAGCGACTAACAGTGCCTTACACGCCGCAACAAAATGGAGTCGCAGAGCGCATGAATCGTACGATCGTCGACATGGCTAGGTGCCTACTGATCCAAGCAGGATTTCCGACGATGTACTGGGGAGCTGCTATTACGACGGCCAACTACCTTAGGAACCGTTGTCCAAGTAGAAGCCACGGAGGATCTACACCATTTGAGTTATGGTTCGGTAGAAAGCCAGAATTAAAGCATCTGCGAGTATTTGGAGCAAAAGTGCTTGTACTTCGAAAGGAGATAGGACGTCAAAAGCTCGAGGAAAGATCAATCGAGGGAAGATTGGTCGGCTATTACGAAACCGCAAAGGCCTACAGAGTACGACGAAACGACGATGACAAGGTAGTCATCACCAGAGATGTACAAATCATAGAAGAAAACGTGATGAGATCACGTAGTGCAGTACAATTGGACGTCGAATATACACACCCTCAGGAAGAGGATCCAGAGCCAGGGAGAGTCCTGAGAGACAGGAGGTCATGCAGGGAAATTGTAAGAGAACCCTCACCAGCTCGAGCACGAGGAAGACCCAAGAAACAAAAATCTGGGAAGCCAGGACGACCTCGTAAACTTTACAGATACGTAAGTGCGTCGAGTATTACTTCAAGTCGAGCATCAAGTCGTGAAAATTTATCACAAGAAGAAGAGGAAGCACCGGAAGAAGACGACGAGGAAGCATCCAACGATGTTTTCATTCCAAGCGCCGTAGATGAAGTTCTAAGAACGAAAAGGCCGCTGGAATCGTCGTTATTTCAGGAAGATAAACGTCCTCGAAATGACAGAAGCTCAAGTGATTCGGAGAAGTCACCTAAAAAGGATGAAGATAATACCGACGAGGGAGACGAGTTCATGGACGCAAAGTTTATCGAAGAACTAGCGTTAATGGCTGATGTTGAACTCGAAGAAGCGATCCGAGGAACGGAATCGACCGAGTGGAAGTGTGCACTAGCAGCAGAAGTACGCTCACATCTAGAGCACGGGACATGGGACCTGGTGGAATGTCCAGAAAATGGAAAAATTATTGGATCCAAGGTAATCTTGAAGAACAAGTTAAACGTCGACGGGAAAATAGAGCGCAGAAAAGCTCGAATAGTAGCCAGGGGATTTTCGCAGAGACCAGGGTTCGATTTCGACGAAACCTTTGCACCAGTGGCAAGACTGGAATCAATAAGGCTACTAGAAGCATTATCGACGAAGATGGATGCCAAGATCCATCAAATGGACGTCGAAACGGCGTACTTACACGCCAAAGTCGACGAAGAATTATATATGGAAGTTCCTGGTGGCTCGAGGGAAGCACTAGTGGAAATTACGCGTAGCGAACGAAGAGACTCCGAAGTCCAAATAAAAGCATTAAAGATACTGGAGGAGCTCACCAAGGGTGTACGAGTCTGCAAGCTACGAAAGTCAATATATGGATTGAAACAGTCTGGCAAGAAATAGTACGACAAGTTGAGTGGAATTCTGAAAAACCTAGGCCTTAAACCGACGGTATCAGACCCATGTTTGTTCGCATACAGGACGGCAAACGAAATATTGCTCGTAGCAGTTTACGTCGATGACTTGTTGGTCACGTCGAACAATCCTGAGTGGATTGAAGAACTGAAAAAGGGACTGGCAAATGAAATCCGAATAAAAGACTTAGGAGAAGCCAAATATTGCTTAGGCATAGAGTTCAAGCAAGAAAACGGCGAAACAAATCTGAGCCAGCGTCGATATGTCGAAGAATTATTGGATAAATTTGGTATGAAGAATTGTACTCCACATCAGGCACCAGCGAGTCCAACATCGATGTTGAAAGCGTCAACAGACCCGAATAAATCGACGAAAAATCCAAGGTACAGAGAGCTAGTAGGGTCTCTGATGTACTTGGCAGTGGCGACGAGGCCAGATATCGCGCACACAGTAAGCGTATTGAGCCAATTCAACGAACACCCAACAGAAGAGCACTGGGAAGCCGCAAAACGAGTTCTCAGATATTTAAAAGGAACACCCGGACTGGGACTTACCTACAGGAACACGCCTGAGAAAATTGTCGGGTACAGTGATGCTGACTGGGGAAAATTTCCAAAATTTTCTTCAATATACTAATGACATAAAAATATACGACACACGTGTTGTCTTGAATCTTAAATTGGTTTGTGAAAACAATAGCATATACAATATCAGTGATAAAAAACTAGCACTAAAAAAAATGTCATTGACAATTCCAAAAAAAATACTCCGTCTCGAAAGATATTAAATTCTACATTCAATTCACTCTAATAGCTATTTTACGGTAAATTTCCTCGCCTTTCTTTCTCAATTTTACTTATATCGTTTTTCGTTCCATATTCCACAAGAGGACGTTTCTGGCTCCCCTTGCAACGTATATCGGAACGTAGCCATATATTTTGTTGAGTTGAATGGAAATTTGGTGGGTTGTACTTCTTTTGCTCTTATATTATTTATATTCATTTAATATGTCAAAGCATTGAGCTTAGTCACACTCATTAAAATTTAAAGATTAGTCACACTAAATTATATAAAAAACAGAATAAATATTGTATAAAAATTAAAGTCTAAAACAAAGTTTCCGATTTTATTACTTGTAAGTGTTTCAGATGTCACTGCTGATAAATTAAGAGGTAATTTTGAATACCAATTCTCATCGAATAAACCTTTATATTAATCTCTTTATATTTTATAAATAATATGTTAACATGCACTACTTAAATCAAATAACTTGCTAAAGGATAGAATTTTTCAAATAGTATGATTTTGGTATTGTAATAAAACACAAACCAGCTGAAAATTAAAGCATTTCTTGAAGAAATATCGCTACTGTTTAAGTATTTCAAAATAAGTTTTATTTTTTTTTTAATTTCTTGCTATAAGAATTTAAAATTTTCAAAAGTTATAATAATCAGTTCGACTTTCGAAAATTAATTCTCCATGAAATATTATTATCAAATAAAGTTATTAAATAAAGAAATAAAATAAAATAAAATATCGACATTTTGAGGTCCTACAAAAAACTATTCCAATCATTTTCCGAGTAATGTACGATGATCAGTTTAATAACTTCTGAAAAATCTCAAAAATATTTTACCGGTCAATTAAATTCCCGAAAATTACTCATTTTTTCGGCCTTCTTTCACAGTGGCTATCTGCCTTGCAAGCTGATTAGATTATAGGAACAATCGGTATATTAATTTAGAAATTATTCTGAAAAAACAGTTTTTTGAAAATTTTATTTTTGAGATTTCTTAAAACACACCAAGCCGAATTATTTTAAATTTCCAGAAAATCCAATAAGTTTGGGAGAGCCTTTTAAAATGTCACAAACCGCGTTTCGATGGATCAAGCTGTTTAAAAGTTATGCGAAACTTATATGACACCCACCCAACCACCCACCGACACACACAAACCCACTTACTCACCCACACAAACATACACACACTCACACATACATCTAATGAGAACTTGATGATTAAAAACCGAGGTAAAACCAATGATTTAAGCTGTTGGAATTCCAATTTTTCTAAATCAATGAGTGTCATAGTAGGAAGTAAAAAAAAAATTTGATTAGTTCTTTGGATTAACTGGTACAGTAGATTAAAAATGTAATTATAGAAAATAAAATTTCGCTTTAATTTTATTTTTAGCAGTTCCTGAATATCTATTGATAGGTATTCAAATATACACACGGTCACATAAGCACATACACTCCTAGGCACATGCATGGGTGTGAGCTTGCGCGAACCAGACTTAAGAACTTGATTTGAATGGCCATAAAGTAAGTTCCGATTATGATTATAAATTTTTTCTGCATCATAAGTCTACGTAATGCCATTGTGAAACTTTTTAGCTTTCAAAAATATTTTTTTTTGCACCACACGGAGAGAAAAGAATAGATCTTATTCTTATGTAGAATGGTAACCATGACTATGTGAAATAGTAATGGAAATTTTTGTGAGAACCTTGTGTAAATTCGCTGATAAAAATCTTATAAATTGTGATAAAAATGTGAAAACCCACTCATTCGTTGAGGAATAAAATTCTGAACTTAATGATGTTGTTTTTTTATTTTTTTGATAGTAATTTCAATTTGTTATTAACAAAAAACATAAACAGAAGTTGCTCGGAACCCTATTTTCAACATTAAATAAAAATTATCATTTTTAAAGCCAAAGTTCCGGGAGTCGAGACTTTTTTAACTTCCCGCTAAGAAAATCGAAGATTTTCAAAAATCGGGAAGTTATTGTTTTCACCCCGTTTTATAAAAATCAAGTTTTCATCAGATCTCGACATTTGAAGGTCACAGGAAGCTTCCCTGACTATCCCCGCGAGGTTGTCACTATGTCTGTATGGATGTATGTATGTATGTATGTGTGTGTGTGTTGTTTTTTTTTTTTTTTTTTTTTTTCCCCATTAGGGGGGGAATCCTTTTTACGGATTCTAGGCGTAGTTGTTTGGCCTGGATATGTGGCGACTCGACGCAGCGTCCTACTAAAACTCGACGCTAGCGCTCCTACCCACTAAACCCTAAACCCCTTTCCTCTTTCCTCTAATCCCTTATGGAAACCGCCGTTAGGCATTATTTCGTGGAGGGAGGATGTAGCAACTGCTCTTCCTTCTGGTAACTAAGGTATTATTTTACCTTTCTTCTAGTTTTTGTCATTTGCTCTGTAACGGAGTGTTTAATTCCTGTATTACCCACGTGTGGTTTCTGGCCCGCGCCAGTTAGTTGATCGACGGATCACAGGGCGCTGTGCTCCGAATTACTCGCGCCACTAGTTATAAGTAGTAAGTAAGTCCCCGAGGGGAAAGCGCTGGCGCCGAGAGAGAGAGAGAGTGGGGAAGGCAGAGTGAAGAAAGAACTACAATGACAAGACCGAGAAGACTCATTGTGACCGAACAGTCTCGTTGGACGCATCGCAACTTTTAGTAAGAACTGAGCACAGGTAATTATTTTATTTTGCTCACCTTAAGTGGAACGAAGCGATAAAAAATTAATTGATTTATTGCTTGCTAGGCCGCCTGTCAGCTTGCGTAAATTAATTTTAATTTGTAATAAATTCTAACGCCGATTTGCGGTTACAGGTTCAAGAGAGATATCCAGACCACGAGTGACGGTGACCGGATTTTCGCCGCCAAGCAGTAACCCGAGGAGATAATTGCCGAGGATTTATTCCAAGGAAAAAAACTTACACCAGCCTGGAAAAGGAGTTGCAGCTTGTCGAGGGAGTGCACGGGTATTAAAATAATAAAACGTAAAACTCCAGGTACAATTATCATGTCTGATTTTATTTCTCGGGTCGGCGGCGTCAGCCAGGCAACACGTCGGTTGAAGGTCACCGCCATTTCGCGTTCGGTCACAATCGCTAGTCATTATATTATTTAATTAAGTTTAATATTAATATTAGAAAAATTATAAGACAAATAATTATTAGTACTAGGGTTATTAATTAATTTGTTAGGGAAAGTAACTGGTCTCTGTTATTACGTATTTTACACGTAGGCCGGTCTGGGTTGATAATACTAGGCATTAAGTCGGGTTATTAATTCCAGATTTTCGCCATGTGTAAAATTTATTTAATTGAGAATTGATAGACAATAATTTGGCTTAAGCCAATAGAAAATAGAATTGAGTAAACCGTAAAAGTACGATTGTTTAAGTTAAAATTTATTCCGATCGAAAGTTATTTGTATAAATTATTTGGCGCATTAATTAATAATTGTTTTAATTTAAATTAAACGTAGAGTCAGGAAATAGTTATTAAATCAATAGAATTGTCAATCTAAATTAATTAGTCAAGAAAATAGAGAATATAAAATTTGTAAAAATTTCATCAGAAAAAAAAAATTACTTGAGTCCTGCGACAAAGACGCTAGACCGAGCGAGA